AAGACAGGTCTTGCAGGCACAGAGAACAGGACTCCCTCCGTTAGGTCCATCTTGGGGGTCCCAGGGCACCACAGCCCCCTTGGAAGATCAGAGATCCGTCTACTTCCCAGCCATTCCACCAGCCAGCTCTGAAACTCTCCCCCCACCCTTTGTTCAGTTTCCAGGGAAAAGGTGTCACCTGGCCTCTAACCCCTTCCTGGGGTCTCACGTTACATGCTCAGGTATTCTCCCTCGGCCAGTCTCCCATCCCCCAATGCAGACCATCCTAGCCACACTCCCCTGCCTTCCCAGCCAACACTCCCCACTCAGCATTCCAAGACCACATTAAGACCAGTCCCAGTTCGTCACAGAGGGGCCGAGGCGTACGGGCGCAGCGATGGCTCTGGAGGCGTGGGGCGTACGGGGATGGGCGTTCTCACCAGCGACAGGGTGAGACGGCTGCCTGCCCCCTTGTAGTAGCGCTCGGCGTTCCCAAACTGCAGCTCATCCCAGCGGATCCGCCACAGCATACTGGCCAGCTCTTTCTCCAGCATCAGCTTCCTGGGAAGCACAGAGTGTCAGGGGAGGCCCCGGATCCCCAGGGGCACCGTGGTCACAGGTGACACCTCTGGAGTGTCCCAGAGAGTCCAGCCTCAGGGCCTGTCCCCACCAACGTCTGCCCAGGGTGGAGTCAGACCCTAGTGCCACGCAGCCCGCCCCACGTCTGCTCTCAGAGTCCAGTCACGCTGGGTGTGAGATTCACCAGGCATGTGCAGCGGGCTATGCTGTGTGTGTGCAGCACACGCGTGCAGTGGAGCACAAGCATGTGCACATATGACATGGGGTGGGGGCCTGTGACCGTTAGCCACAGCACCGGGGTGTCTGAGGGAATGGGGCGCTGTCCTCGGGAGCTGCATCCTCCGGAGCCTGCTGTGGGATCCCTGGGGGGGACCCAGTCCCCCTGCCCCGGACGTGGCACTCAGTGCAGAGTAGCGGGAGCAGGGGGCCAGCACGCACTCCCCAGGGCGGTGCACGTGGCAGGCTCGCTGCTGGAGGGGCCCCGGAAAGCCCTGGCCGCAGCCTCCCGGGCCCTGCCCCAGTGCTGTGACGCCAGCCAATGCCTTCGGATACTGCGGGGCGGGGGGGCAGGCCGGCCGGCAGCTCAGATCCCACGGAGCAGGATGGTGCCATGGGGCTGAGCTCCCCGGGAGGCTCCGGGGTTTATACAGCTCTGAGCAGAGCGATTCCCAGAGGAACCCAGCTGCCGGAGGTGGGCCTGGTGCTCTGGAATGTGGGGGTGGCCCCAGGCTGGGCAGCGTGGGGCTGGAGCCGGCCGGGTGGAAGACCCAGAGCTGCCCTCCGAAGGGCGGCTGGTATCGAGGGATCTGGCTGTGCTGTGTACGGCTCCCTCCCCGCTGGGGCTGCCTGGGCTGTGATCACAGGGTGGGACATTCGCCCAGGAGCCCCCAGGACAGGACGTCTCTGCCGGGGTGGCCACCAGCCAGGCCCTGCACCTTGGCGCTCTGCGGATGGGACTGGCTGGGCCAGGCACAGAGCACCCGGGGCATTGGCCCCCCACTCCCAGCCGGCCCCCCCTCCTGGGGGCTCCACTCTACAGGCCCCTCTGCCTTTGGCCTCTGCTGGCAGGCTGCTGGGTGCCAGTGGGGAGGGGGCTGCTGAGGATTCACCCCACCCACCCTGCACACGCACCCGGCAGTGCACATGCACTGACCCGGGTGGGGCACCAGGCTCCCTTGGTGTTCCCGGCAGCAGAGCTCCAGGCCAGGCCCCGGGAACAGGGTCCAGGCCGGGCCCCCGGGAGCAGGGAGCCAGGCCGGGCCCCCGGGAGCAGGGAGCCAGGCCGGGGCCCCGGGAGGAAGGTGTCAGGGCGGGGCCCTGGGAGCAGGGAGCAGTGGGCAGGGCCCTGGGAGCAGGATGCCGTGGGCGGGGCCCCAGGAGCCATGGGCGGGGCCCCGTGAGCAGGGAGCCGTGAGTGGGCCCCGGGAGCAGGGTGCCAGGGCGGGGCCCCGGGAACCGTGGGCGGGGCCCCGGGAGCAGGGTGCCAGGGCGGGGCCCCGGGAGCCGTGGGCGGGGCCCCGGG